ACTTGTAGGCTGACCGACCGTTCAGCGCTGAGCTGCTCACCGTGTAACTGCACCATCGATATCGACCATTGACAGCACCTTGCCACCGCAGCTTTTGGCGCCGCTTTGTCCTTCGCACGAAACTCATCTGTAGCGGTGCAGGTCCGTGTGGGCTCTGAACGCAAGCACAACGGTGCTAATCTCCTACATAATCCTAGCAGAATTGATTGCATTAATTGTGCGTTTATCGGAACGTCATGACTCTGCACAGCTTATGCACTACTGATGTTGGGGTTGGGTTCACGGTAGGTTTTAAAGAGAAATAGAAAGTAATAAATGATACATGTGTATTTATTTTCAGATCAATTAAAATGATAAAAAATATCAAATACTACATAAATAATAAATAATATATTTGAATATATATATTTATCGTATATATATATAGTTATACATATATTATATTATATTAATATTAGCTGCAGCTCATATCCTAAGCTACTGTAGCCGGTGACTATTGGCCAGCTATAAGTGACTTAATTAAGTGGGCTATGTGCTAAGTTGGTGAGACTATGTGCGACGCGGTTGGATTGTCAGGCCATCTTCTGTTGACAGCACGCGGTTTGTTATAACGTTTCACTGCACTATACGTGAGGCGTACAGCATCTACCTAACCAAAACTTGGGGACGGCGCGCGAGAGAACCCTGTAATTCCGTCTCCAGACAATAGTGCGACGTGCGTCCGTGCGTCACGCAGCATATGTCCTGGGTGGCTACTGTTCAATTAGAATGTTCTGTTGATGGGCGGCAGAAATAGATCCATATCGGCAGCCATTGCCGCCATAATAAACCGAAGATAACATTTAGTCAACTATTGAGTCGGAACTGGTGGTACCGTGGTTGTTTGCAGGGTGGTTTCAAAGGTGTGCTATACTAGAGATAAAAAACATTCTATTCCTAGAATTCATTTATGGTAGTCATCTGGTACACAAGCATGTGTATATACAGCAGTACTATTGGTGATGTGATGCATGCTTGCTTGCGTCGAGGCGTCGTGTGCGGCGCGTGGGTGCGCCCAGTTGGCATGGCTCGTCTACGCGATGCGTGTGCGTGCGGTTCTATGGTGTTAGGAAGTTCTTTCTGGCGCGTATTTCACGTATAGAGAAATAAAAAAAAAACAGAAAAGAACCCCCCCGTCGCGTATTTCAACGCTCAAGTCGATGGTGAAGTACCTGTCAGTAGGAGTGTAGCTATCAATCTAAGCATAATAGTCGTAACAACTATAGTAGCTACGAATGTGTCATCCGTGTTCATGCTATTAAGAGCAACAAAAGCTTGCAAGTTTGTATCTTGTGCTATCCCAAATCCCATACTCGCGTAGCAATTAGTGTACGCACAATTACTATATTAATTTACAAGTAAACCAGCTGGGTTTGCGCGTAATTATATAAGGATATTTAAATTAGCTCTCGTGCCTGGGAGGTTTCGCGATCCTTACTGGCGACCAATTCAGCTTATCATCCTACTCATGTTCTCGTCTAACCTTGCCTGCGTGCTGTTTTAAGCTTATGATACCTCAATTATTCTTATACGCCGATGAGAGCGGGACAATCAAATTCCTTTTCATATTATGAACAACAGTTGCTTGCTTTCGTGGCAGTTTACGTTCATGCTATTTACTAATGGCTCCGAGGAGTTTTTAAGTCGCATCGTCGTAAATTAATTTCGCTAACAATTATTTCCGTTGGCGCTAAGAATTCGTGACGACGCCTAAATGGCGTGTATCCAAGAGGTATTGGTAGATAAAAGTATTCATGAAACACAATGATACAGACGAGACGATCATACGATAGACTAGGCATGTGTACCAAAGTTGGCTCAATTTTGTCGCGCACGTTTTGCACGGAAAATGCCGTGAGGGAAATTTAATTCAATATCATCTGGCTTGACAGCATGTGTATAATGATATTAAAGTTTAATTCCGTAGACAAATGCGTAGAATGTTGGTATAACATGAGCGTGACACGACTAACAGCGAATATATATTACATATTGAGTCGCAACATGCCAGAGCATTATTGCACGATATTTTACATCATGATTGCACCTCACCTCGTAACCGGTCCAACAGGAAAAGCCGCCCACAAACCGCAGTCCTGCAGCGCTTTTTATCAAGGCAACAACAACCTGAAATATACAAACTGCAGTGTAGTACACAGTTCGGTTACAGTTCAGCACACAGGGAGTGTCAAAGCTGCATCCGGTCTCGCGAACGATTGATGCTCTTGCAATGGGTCGACAATTGAGTTAAAAAATACCCTTCGATAACAATTCATTGGCATTGCACACTTTTTCTACTCTAACGCCGAAAACTTTGCGTTCATTTAGTCTTAGAGTAAAAAGTTGCACTTGAAAAATAAGTTATTTTTTATTATTGTTTAAAAAATACTTGTGAAATTCTTATGAAAATACACAAATGTCACAATAATATCTACTTAACGCATTCGTGATAATAACCTAAAACACGAAAATAAAAAACCGCGTTGCTACCCAACATGTAGTATCAGGAAATACATGTCCGACGTGTATCGCTATGAAATCGCGCTCACTGCTATTCTTTAATTACAATTATAATGTCGATATTAAGCGACCGAGGTTAACGTTAAGAATATACTAGAGATACAAGAATATACGGAGATACTTTTAATAAGACACATAGCTGATAATATGACACGATACACTCACACATTCACGCACGCACGTTCACGCGCACAAGCAAACACATGCAGACACAATCGCGCGCACGCACGTCTATCGAATTTTCGAGTTTAATCATACATTGTGCGTGTGATCTCTACCACTAAACCACTACCACTACCACTGCCACTACCAGTGTGGTTGGTGTCGTTGTTTTTTTATTCTATAATTATCTTTTTTATTTACTTCAGACATAACAAAACAGCTATCGTGTCAGTCACGTGTATGTGGGTACTATACATTCTGTAACCCGGCGGTTAATATAAATTTGTGAAAACTTTGTATCCATAGTAGTTTAGGAGTGTACGGCCAAGGCAGGCAAAGGAACACAATATTACCGTTATATAAATAAAAAGAAGAGTGTGGGAATCCTACAATTACTAAACTTAACGTAATTATAACATTATCGTTCGTAGTTCGTACAACGAGATGAACTTAACTAAAGCAATAATAACCTAACTTAATTACCGAAAACAGATTAATTTATCATGTTCCATATTATCCTATGTAACGTTTTCGTTTAAACATAAAGGTCTTGAACTTTCAGCACAAACAGAGAAGGACAAAAAGGCACACACACATGCCTGCACACACTCTAGTAAATAGTGAGCACGAACACACGCACGCAGATATACACACACGTGAGCACGCACGCATAGATAGACACACGCACGCCTAGACACACACGGACGCATACACGTACATACGCACGCACGCGCATACGCACACGCACACGCGCGGTTCAGCCAACACACACACACACACACACATGCCCGCACGCACGCACGCACACGCACACACACACCACACACACACACACACACACACAC